ATTGACACAGTGGCTGCGACATTGGGCTCAAGTATAGCAAGGATCATGGAGCTGGCGTGGGATTGGGCGGTGTTTCATTCTGCTGTGCATGGGGTCGCTATGAGTCGGAATTGACTCGACGGCACCTAACAACAACAACAACAACAATCTCTATGGAAGTAGATTCTGAGGAGTGGCTGATGGGTTTGAACCACTGGCCTTCCAGTTAGCAGTCAAATGCCTTAAGCACTATGCCACCAGAACTTCCTCCTTAGAAATACTGCCTCGAGAACCCAACGAGGGGTCGCTATGAGTTGGAATCAACTCGATGGCAGTGGGTTTGGTTTTTAGTGGACTGGAAGCAGGTGATGGAGAGCATGTTGGAGGGTTACATTGCAGGCATGGCCCTTAACTTTCAGGCACCTTCTGGCCACGTGGGGGGAGCTCTTTCACTGTCAGTGGGATGGTAGCCAAGCCTGGACTCCAGCCGATGCCTGCGTTAGAGCAATGCTCCATAGCCCCTCTCCTCTCCCCGCCTGTCTCTATGCCTGCCTTCCCTTCATTTGTCCAGTTTTCTTTTGTTTGTTTGTTTTTCAGCCTGATAGACAACTCCTGTCCCCAGGGCCAGTTCCAGGTGCAGGCACTACCCTTACCCTTGGGGCCTGTAGTGGGAGTAGCACTGGAGACTGACAGTTAAGTGAATAGTTAGCAGGACTGTGGATGCCATGTGGGCGTTTTTCTCACCAGGGGTTTCGTATCCTATTAGCTTTCAGCTTCCACTACCTCCTTTAACAGAAGGCTCACCGTGTACTGTTGCGGGCTGTTGTGTTTTGCAGGGAAGTGTTCATACAAGTGCCCGGCACAAGCTGCAGTATGGCCCCTTGGCATTCATACTTGGCGAAAAAACCACCAAGAAACTGACGGAGCAAAGCAGAGTGATCACCGTGGACGGCAATATCTGCTCCGGGAAAGGCAGGCTTGCCAAGGAGATCGCCGAGAGGCTGGGTAGGTATGGCTGCTGCTGCAGGGGCCTGCCGCTCCGTGGCTGGTTGGCCCAGTTCGGTTCCCTGTCATGTTGACTAGGTAGTTAGGCCTAACGGTGAGTATTGACGATGTTTGAAATATTGATTGGAGAAGCTGTTTTCTGTCTTCCAGATTTGGGAAGTTGAAAAATAAACCCCCTGTGGGTCACCGTCTTGGATTGGGGATCTCATTTTGACCATAGGAGCAACCCTTTCCCCAGAGCTGTCTGATGTGAGCGCTGTAACAGCCCTCGAAACAGACCTCAAGCCCCCTACCAGCCAGTGAATTCTGATTCACAGCACCCCTACACAGAGTGGAACTGTCCCCACAGGGTTTCCAAAGCTGTAAATCTTTATGGAGCAAAGCTCAAACCAAAGCCGTGGAGTCAGTTCCAACTCACAGCACCCCTAGAGGACAGAGTGGAACCGCCCCAGAGGGTCTCCAAGGCTGTCAGTCTTGATGGGAGCAGATTTCCTCATCGTTCTTCCACAGAGTGGCTGGGGGGTTTGAACTGTGAACCTTGTGGTTTGCAGCCGGGCACTGTACCACTGTGCCACCAGGGCTCCTTTCTGAAATAGATGAGGCTGTAGTGTTACTGCTCATCTGACAGCTGAGTGAGCTCAGGAGGAAAGGCTGACGTCACACAGGTGGCTAGTAGCAAGCCAGAACCACAACCCCGTCTCTGGCAGGGTGCAGGTATTGTCTGTGGTGGCCTTCTGTGGTGTTGGCCGGCTGTCCCCACCCAGGAAGGGGTCCCCTGCGTTACGGGCAGCTCTCCTCCTAAGGGAGGAGCTCCTACACAGTGGAAACCTGCTGCACGTGGGGCGTTAGTGCGTGTGCTGCACACATGTTCAGACGTGTTCCCCTCGATGTGTGGGTGCCCGCCCGCTCTCCCTCACAGCAGGTGACCTGCTGTCATGAAGGGGACTCCCCCAGGCCTTCTAAGCACCAGCAGCCTTGTTGGTGTGCACCTGGGCTCAGGCTGACTGCCCCACCACGCCCTGGTCTCTGCTGCCTGCCAGCAGACGGGAGCTCACCCGGCTGTCTCTCTCCTCAGGTCTGAGGCACTTTCCAGAAGCAGGCATCCATTATTCAGACAGCACGACGGGAGATGGAAAACCACTGGACTTAGAGTTTAGCGGCAACTGCAGTTTAGAGAAATTCTATGATGACCCGAAGAGCAATGACGGCAACAGCTACCGCCTGCAGTCGTGGCTGTACACCAGCCGCCTCCTACAGTACGCAGACGCCCTAGAGCACCTGCTGAGCACAGGTGTGTGTGTGGGGGTGAGGCGGGGTGGTGCTCCCCAGCTCTGCCAGGGAGAGCTGCTCCTTGGGCTGTTTGGGGGGTGCAGGCCCGTCTTCCCAGTTAGGTTGCAGATTCCCTGAGATCTGTGTTACTGTTGCTCCTGACTAAAAGCAGCTTACATTGTTGCACACTGGGGTGAGTTCATTGGACCGTGTGGTATTTCTGTGCTACCGACCCAGGCCTTGGATGAAGTGATTCAGGGCTCCAGAGAGTCGGGCAGGAGAGCAGCGAGGTGCTTGTGGAGACGGGCCTGCAGTGGACAGAGACCGGGGCCCGTGTCCACAGGGTAGACATTAAACCTTGAGGAGGCTGCTGCAGGGAGACTCTGAGGGAGCAGCTGACAGTGATGTGAAGACGGCTACAGGGGACTCACAGGGAGCACCTGGCCAAGGTGCTCTGAGCAGGCCATGTGACTGGACTCAGCAAGCAGGGCCGAGAGGCAGTGGGTCAAGAAGTGGCAGGCGAGATGGTGGCCTTTGAGGGCCACACGGACAGTGGGTTAGGAAATAGCCACTGGGTGGTCTGTGCAGTCGAGTAACGTGATCTATTTGCAAGTGTCCCTCTGTTGTGGGTGGGAGGGGCTGAGGGTACATGGGCAGGAGCCAGGAGACCAAGCAGGGAGAAAGCTGGCAGGTGTGCTGATGAGTGGGATGGGGGTTGGGGCAGGGCGGCTCTGTGATGTCCCTGGCGGGGCGGGTATGAAATAGGGAGCGGGGAGCTGCTTTTTCAGCCAACGAGATGTTTTATGATTTTTGTGGCAGCCGATATGAATGAAGTGGAAGGTTATCCTGTGGCTGGGCAGCGATTCCCCACTCGAAGTGTGTCTGTGACCTCTTGAACACGCAGTCCCAGGGGTCCCCTTCTCAAATGAGCTGAGTGTGCTTGCAGCTTTTCACTGTGTCTGTTCCACAGGCCAGGGCGTTGTCTTGGAGCGCTCCATCTACAGCGACTTCGTCTTCCTGGATGCCATGTACAAGCAAGGCTACATCCGGAAGCAGTGTGAGTCTACCGCGGCATGTGCCTTGGGGCGGGCGGGTGACTGTGCTCCGAGGCTCACTGCTGGCAGCCTGGGTACCTACAAATGTCTCGGACGGATGAAGAGACACCCCTACTCACTACAGTTCCACAGAAAAAGCATCCCGCAGAACTCACAGGGTCTCCCAGCCCTGTCTCTCCTGACCTAGGTGTGTGTCCTTACACGCTTGCCTGGGAATGCAGGCTGGTGTCCCGGGTCCTTGGACACATGTCACCATCGCTGCCACCTGGCCTCCCCACGGGATGCCCTCTGGCTGCTGGCCCTGTCTCTCATCTTTCTGTGACTTTACACAATACGCAGGTTCTTGGTGTCCTGCTCTTCTGCCAGCCGGGTGTCTTTGACTTACACCTGTGTGGTTGCAGGGCCACAGTGTAACCCTTCCTTCTTGGTGTCACAGCTGCTACTCTGCTGTCTGCGGGCCCTGGGGGGGCGTCTCACGGTGGCAAGTTGGGTTGAGGTCGAGAGAGGCCATCCAGGGAGTCTGGGTGGTAAGGTGACCCTTGTCTGTGCGTCAGGGATCACTGGGGGGTCTGACAGGTGAAGTCAGGTTGAGGTTGAGAGAGGCCTTCCGGGGAGTCTGGGTGGTGAGGTGACCCCTGTCTGTGCGTCAGGGGTCACTGGGGGGTCTGATAGGTGAGGTGGGGTTAAGGTAGAGGCCGGGGAGGCTGGCTGACAGGGTAGCCCCTCTCTGTGTGTTGGGGCACTGGGGGGTCTGACAGGTGAGGTCGGGTTGAGGTAGAGGCCGGGGAGGCTGGGTGGCGGGGTGACCCGTTTGTGCGTCAGGGGTCACTGGGGGGGTCTGACAGGTGAAGTAGGGCTGAGGTAGAGGGCGGGGAGGCTGGCTGACAGGGTGGCCCCACTTGTCGGAGCACTGAGGGGTCTGACAGGTGAGGTGGGATTAAGATAGAGGCCAGGGAGGCTGGCTGACAGGATAGCCCCTCTCTGTGTGTTGGGGCACTGGGGGGTCTGACAGGTGAAGTGGGGCTGAGGTAGAGGCCGGGGAGGCTGGCTGACGGGTGGCTGCTCTGTGTCCAGGTGTGGAGCACTACAGGGAGGTGAAGAAGCTGACCATCCGCGAGTACCTGCCTCCGCACGTGGTGATCTACGTTGACGTCCCTGTCGCCGAGATCCAGAGCCGCATCCAGAAGAAAGGCGATGTAACTGCTCCTTGTTCTAAGGCAGCTTGCTTTGATGTGCCCCTGTTACCTGCAGACCCAGACCAGTGCTTGCTAGTCGTGTGTAGCTCAGGTAGCAAGGTTTGGCTTGGCGTGGGTGCTGTGTACAGGGCTCTGAGGCTCCCGTGCAGGTGGTGGGAGAGGGTGTGGGGCAGTGTGCTCCTGCCCCAGTGTCGTCACGGCTCTGTCCTGGTCTCTATCCTCTGTTCCCTTGTAGCCTTGGCCTCCTTGAGGAACTTCCTTGTGTGCACCTCACTCTGGTGGCATTGGTGTCCCTTGTTACCTCAGAGAGTGACCGCACGTGCCCTCTCTGCTATCCACTCGGCTGTGACCGCCAGTTGTGTGTCTCCTCCCCCTGTCTCTGCTCACAGCTAGTGGCAGTAGGGCACTGACCACGCAGAACCCCACTTAGTCTGTAGTTTTGGTTGGAGTTCAGGTGGCCTAGAGGCTGCCCATTTTGGAGATGCCCATGGCCCACATGGCTGGGAGAGTACTAGGGGGACAGACTCCCTCCACTTCTGTAGGAAGTGCACTCTGTCCACACTGATGGAATTGTGGGGTGACCTGTGTGTGTGACACTCAGCTCTCTCCCTGGATTGAAATTCTCACAGGTGTTCGGTAAATCCTGCATGATAGGCTCTCGTGAGGCCAGCAGATGCGTCTTGAAAGACCTCCTAAGCCTGCCTTTCCTCACCCTGCTCCACGAATAGGCACATCTGTGGCTTCTTCCTCCTCATGTCCTTCAGTCTGCCCTGTCCCACAGCCTGTCCCCTTCAGCGATCCAGAGGATAAGGCCTCTTGTAGCCTGAAAACCCTCCCTCTAGTGGCAGAAGGAGGGAGCTGCAGTTCAGACTGTGTAGTCATCGATATTCGGTGGAACAGTTTTGAGTGTTTTTGCCCGTTACAGAGACATTTATTAGGAAAACAAAGGCTCGTATGCAGGTTCTCTAAATAACCCTTTTGTTATGTAGGGTAATGCTTTCGAAACACTTTGGGGTCCAAATTAGGACTGTTGACTTTTTTTATGCCAAGTAAAATCTTAGGCGAGTATGGCCTCCACTAAGCTGAGTGCTGTTTTGTAAGAAAAGAGACTTTATCTTCAGAGATGGGGTGTCATCCATCTGTGTGTCTGCCCTTGGTTCTTTCAGGGTGGTCCATGAGTGCTGACGGGGCGGCCACAGCTCTTGGGGACCATTGATGAGAAAGTCCGAGAGTCGAGTCTCAGTGCTGAGGCTGCAGCCGCCTCGTTGATAACTGGCATCTGGTCTGCTGTAGAGTCAGGTTTGGAGGGGGCTGCGTGTGCTCACAGCCCTCCAGAGTCTGTTCCTGTTTAGTCTGTTTTGCTGTCTGATGGCAGAGGTTTACAGCCCTGCCACCTGGTTTGTGATACGTGATTTCATTCACACCACTGGTGGTGAACATCTGTCACGTGCATGGTGACTCCCAGATGTCTTGGAGGATGACACTGTCTGCCCTCTGGCCAGGTCCTCGCTCGGTGATAGAAGGCCTGGTATTAACTCCATGGTATTCCATGGAGACTGACCTGCTCTTCCAATGGGATGAGGACACACAGATGCCCCTGGTGGGGGATGTCCCACCACCCCGGGGCCTGCCCGTAGCACACAAGCTGTCAGCTGCTTTCCGAGCAGTCGTCCCTGGCCCCGCGCCCACTGCAGGTGACAGCTCCGGGTTTTCAGTAGGTTCCCCAGGCTGTGCCCGTGCCGCCATACCACAGTTGGAGACCGTTTCACCATCTTGCCTGCCAAGGCAGCGAGTCTGATTGTTTCACTTCTCTTTGCTCCTCCCTCCTCCTCCCTCTGTCCCTCCCACAAGTGTTGCTGGCCTCTGCTCTGCTCAGCATGATTCCGGTGAGCATGGTGACAGGGCCTTGCTCTCTGCATTCCGTGCTGGCGAGGCGGGAGGGAGTAGGTGGGGAGATAAGGGAGGCACACTCCAGGTCGAGGCACCGGCCTGAAGGGAAGAGAATGGAAACAGGCTCAGCCTAGCCTTTAGCACTGCTGCCCTGCGAGCGCTTTAAGTGTTGCCACTTGCCACTCCAGGTTGTGATTTGAAGTTTATGAAAGTGGCACAGCAAACATCAGGTTATGGAGAGTGAGTGATGGAGGAAGTGGGAGATGTGGTGGGTGGGGTACAGAAGAGGGGTGTGGAGAGCTGGGAGACAGGAGGATGCAGAGTGTGGGCGCTGGCCTGGCCCCTCACTGTGGACGATCCTTCACTCCCTGTGCTCCGGGAGGTGTAACTAGATGGGCTCTGAGCATGTGTCTTAGCGCCTGTGAGGAAGGTCGCAGGCACACGTGGTGTTATCTTAACGGACGAATCTGAACCTCAGGCCCTTGTGTGCCATCCGCAGTCCTGCCTTGCCCAGCAGGAGAGACGGGCTCACAGCTTCCCGGCATCTCATGTGCACAGGGAACAGGAGGGAGTCCCAGTGCCTCACCGTTTTCTTTTGCTCTTCTTTAGCCACATGAGATGAAGGTCACCTCTGCCTACCTCCAGGACATTGAGAACGCCTACAAGAACACCTTCCTTCCAGAAATGAGGTGAGCCAGGCCCACGGCTCCTGTAGGTGAGGGACTGAGAGCCAGTGACTGGTCAGAGTGGGGCATCTGGGTGCCGGTGTGGAAAGCTGATGTCCTCGCCCCCACAGCCTGGGGTTGCCCTCTGGTGTCCTGCAGAGGTGTCTGGTGTTTCCATCAATGTTCCTGCACAAGAATGATGGCAAATGTCTGCTTTGGATTTGTGTTTTTGTTTAGTGGGCTTGCTTTTGGTTTGCTTTTCTCGTCAGTACTTTCTTAGTTGTTTTGGTATGTATTTTAAATTTTAAAGTTTAAAGTAAGTAAGCCCAAGTTCTCAGCCCTGATAGCCTTTTCTGTGAGAGAAGTCACGGCTTTACAAATTCAGATGACGCAGTCACGGTTATCTAGAGGGGTTATTGCCAGGGCTTGATACCCACCGAGAGCATTCATGACAGATAAACAACATCCTGAAAGCCAACCACATCGCCGTCCCAGTTGGTTCTGACTCAGGAACAGTACCTGCAGGTCCTCGTGGCCTCCGAGGCGTCTGGGTCGGACGGAGATGGCCCCTGGAGCCTTCTTCCCTCCCTCTCCTCGCGTGCCCTCTGCCCCTCCTCCCTCATTTCCTTTTTAGTGAAAGCACCGGGTGAGCCGTGTCTTCTTTCTCCATGAAGCTGAGCAGTTATCTGATCCTTCGGCTCTGTGTGGAACGGTCATCTACTGCTGTCGCCCAAGTCCATCTGAAATTGGACTGAGTAATGCGGAGACACGTTGCACCTCTGGAGACCTCGTTGGGTGCAGCAGCAGCAGCGTGGCCAGTGGTTTTATGTCATGAAGGTTCTGTTCCTGGAGGTAAAGGCCTTTTCTTTGTGGACCTTCATGGCCTTTGGTGATTTGTAACGTTGATGCCTTTGAGTTGTGGTGTTGGTGAAAAATACTGAAAATACACGGACTGCCAGAAGAAAGAACAAATTTGTCCTGAAGAAGTGCAGCCGGAATGCTCCTTGGAAACAAGAATGGCCAGACTTTGTCTCACCTCCTTTGGTAACGTTGTCAGAAGGGACTGTCCCTGGAGAAGGATGTCATGCTTGGCAAAGTGGAGGGTCAGTGAAACAGGGGAAGGCCCTTAAGGAGATTGGCTGATGCGGTGGCTGCAATGATGGGCCAAGGCGTAGCAAGGTTGGGAGGCTGGCGCCGGGCTGGGCGGTGTTTCCTTCTGCTCGAGGTCGCTAAGAATCAGAGCTAACGCAGTGACACCTAACGACAACAACAGCAATGGGTTTAATGGTCACTGAGTTAAATGCAGGGTTTCTACAGCGGGCCCCCTTAGAGGGTGCCGAGAGACTGATAGTGATGAAACAAAACGAAAACTGAGAGAGAGCCATCCTGTTTCATTTGTGTGTCGCTGTTTGAGGCAAAGCCTAGTCCCCCAGTGAACTGACTGTCATCTGAAGCATCCTGTTTGAGTCTGTTGGTCTCCCTGCTATCTGACACAGTGGCTGGGCCTCGGGGGGGGGGGGGGTTGTCTGTGAATGGGGGGGGATCATCGCAGCCTTTCTCCAGCTGTGTGCTCTGTGAGGTTAGGAGGCACCAGGAGCTGCTACCATGCGCCTGTGTGTTTTCTGTCAACATCTGTGACCATAGACTAAGGAGAGCTTGCTGTTCATTGTTACTCCCTTGACTCTTGAGTGCATCACGGAGGAATGGGAGTGGCTGCTTACTTTAGCAAGCGTTAGTCTATTCACTTATTCAACAAGTCCTTGTTTCTTAGTGCATGTTGGCTGGCTGTCAGAGTCAGCTGACGAGGCCATGGCTCAGGACCAGTCCTCAGGGTGGTCTATGGGGAGACCACCAGGCCACGATTTCAGACAGAGAGAGGGTGTTGTGTGAACAGCCTGACACTTCACGTGAACAGCCTGCTGCTTCACGTAGCTTTGTGAGTTCTTAATGCCTTAAAATGGTGGGAGGCAGTTGAGGTGCCTGGTGCGGTCTGGAGGTGTGGGCTGGGATGCAGTTGGGACTGACACGTTTGCCCGTGGCCACGTGCAGCTCTGGCCGGTTGGTGGGGACAGTGTTGCTGCCATTGGATGAATCAGACTGGGGGGACCCTCTGGTCACAGAGACCCTCGTTGGCTGCCATCTTTGTTCTAGCCCTCTGCTCATGAGTCTGGAGTGACAGGCAGGCGACCCCCAGCATGGACTTATGTGTTGTCTGTTGATTTCTGTGGGCTGCGGAGGCTGTCAGCATGGTTAGCGGTGTCTCACTAGTTCTGTTGAGTCAAGACCCCTGAAGACAGGAAGGTCAGGCTTTGAGAGCTTGTTGGTCATTGTTGGTGCCAGGCCTGGGGCCTCGAGGCCAGGACCACGTCTCCATTACCTCGCACAGCCCCTGTGCAGCCACGAGGTAGGGTCAGCTTATGTCTGCTCAGGTGTGTGCACTGAGATGCTGCTGCCTGTCCCCGAGTCCTGCTTACCCTGCGTGCTGCCTGTCTCCTGGTGGCTCCTGTGGAGAGAGCACCGTCCGCTGCCTTCATTCAGAGGATGTCAGATGGTCTGAGACTCTGGGTGCTGCTTCAAGGCCATGACTGCCCTCTGTGTTGCTGAGCTGAGAGACCTTGTTCTCCTGCAGGGTTAGGTTGACATCGACATGCAAGACCTGCAGAGAAAAGCGACTCCTTGTGGTCACTGTGTCTGTCGACTGTGATGGAGACAGTGGCTTCTTGGGACCAGTGGGCTGCTCGGGGCAAGGGAGGGGCTGCAGTCAGACCTTGGCTTGGGATGACCTTCCCTTCCTAGCACAGCAGCCAGCGTGGGATGCAGACCCTCCCCACTGTTGGGATCCATCCCTCACGTGCTTACAGTTTCTCATCGTTTACATTTGCCTTCGTAGAGACCCAAGGAGCCTATGGCATAGTGATTAAAGCTCTCAGCTGCTAACTAAAAGGTGGGCAGCTCGAACCCACCAGCTGCTTCATGAGAGAAAGATGAGACAGTGTGCTTCTGTGAAGATTATTGTCGTCGTTATGTGCTGTTGAGTCGGACCTGACTCATAGTGACCCCTCCTTGGGTTTCCGAGGCAGTATTGCTATGGAAGTAGATGGATGGCCCAACCTTCCTTCTGAGGAGTGGCTAGTGGGTTTGAACCACCAGCCTTCTGGTTAGCCGTCAAATGCCTTAGGCTATCTTGGAAACCCAAGGAGGGGTCGCTATGAGTCAGGATCGACTCGACGGCAGTGAGTTTGGTTTTTCCGTAAAGATTACAGCCCTGGAAACCCTGTGGGGCAGTTTCACTATGTCTTCTAGGGGCGCTGTGGGTCAGAATCAACTCCAGGACAATGGGTGTAGTTTGGGCTTTGTTTCTGTGAAGATTGACAGCCTTGGAGCCCTGTGGGGCAGTTCCACCTGTCCTCTAGGGGCGCTGTGGGTCGGAATGGACTCCAGGCAGTGGGTGTGGTTTGGGCTTTGCTTCCATGAAGACTGACAGCCTTGGAGACCCTGTGGGCAGTTCCACTCTGTCCTCTAGGGGCGCTGTGGGTCAGAATGGACTCCAGGCAGTGGGTGTGGTTTGGGCTTTGCTTCTGTGAAGATTGACAGCCTTGGAGACTCTGTGGGCAGTTCCACCTGTCCTCTAGGGGCGCTGTGAGTCAGAATCGACTCCACGGCAGTGGGTGTGGTTTGGGCTTTGCTTCTGTGAAGATTGACAGCCTTGGAGACCCTGTGGGGCAGTTCCACTCTGTCCTCTAGGGGCGCTGTGGGTCAGAATGGACTCCACGGCAGTGGGTGTGGTTTGGGCTTTGCTTCTATGACGATTGACAGCTCTGCAGATCCTGTGGGGTAGTTCCACTCTGTCCTCTAGGGGCGCTGTAAGTCAGAATCGACTCCACGGTGGTGGGTTTGTTTTTTTCCAACACTGACCTGAGAATGTGATAGCTATGGTGAGAAACAGCTCTGGTAGCGTAGTGCCTAATGCACTTGACTGCTGACCAGAAGGCTGGCGGTTCAAACCCACCAGCCACTCCTTGGAAGGAAGATGGGGCAATCTACTTCCGTAGTGATACTGCCTTGGAAACCCAAGCAGGGGTCCCTATGAGTCAGATCCGACTCGACAGCGCATAACGACAACAACACGCTGAAAAACCCTATGCAGCTGGATGCCTGCCTTTGAATTATATAAAACAGGCTCATGTGAACCAGACATATTGCCAAGGAATTAAATAAAACCAGTGGCTGTGCAGTCTTGCTGACTTGTCGTGGCCTCATAGTCAGAGGGGGACGTGCCCCATGGGGTTTCAGTGGCCAAGTTTTGGAAGTAGCTCTTCTGGCCTTTCTTTCCGGGGCCTCGGGTGGACTCACACAGCCGACCTTGTGTGTTAGCTGCTTCACTGCCCAGGGTCTCCGATCAGGTCACAGCAGTGCTTAAAAGCATTTCTTTTTCTCACACTTGGGAGACTATGGGACCAAGTAACAGGGAGACGTGGTATAGGTGCTCTGCCCACACTAACTTGTGTCATCAGACCCGTGGTCTGCTGGAGATGGTGGGAAGGGTGATGAAGTCTGACGGCTCCATGGTGGGTCATGTGTAATTCACTCTCGGAGAGCTCACTGGCCCCCGCTGTGTTCACGGTGGGATCATCTCCCAGCAGGAGTTCCTGAAGACCCCTGGTACCTGATGAGCAACACGGCAAAGGTGCTGGCACAAGGAGTCTGCCCACAGCTGTGATTTTTCAGTGTCTGGGTGCAGAAAGGGCAGGGGCGACACCCTCCTCTGCCTTCTTCCACCTTCACTTGGAGAGAGGGAAGGATCAACCCCAGCAGCCTGAAGCCGATTGCTGTGAGGCCAGACCTTCCGCGCCTGCAGCCTTCTGCCAACTCTGACACCATCCCTCCCTCCCTCGGCACTTGCTACTTCTCTGTTGGGTTCAGCGTTTTGTTGCGGTGGCCCCACGGAACTCACAGACAATACTTACAAAAATGGAGTTTATTAGGGAAGTAACAAGTCACAATTCATGTCAAAGAATGCTCAGGATACAGTGCTTATATCAGGACAGCCTCCCCTTGGTCACACCCTCAGGCACACCTCTCAGGCCCTTGGCCTCTTGGCCTGGCTTCTGTCTTGCCCCACCAAGTGTTACAAAGCTCTTTCACCTTTTTCCGTAGGTGCATCTAGGTGCACCCCACTCCACCAGCAAGCCTCCTGCCCAAAGGCACTCACCTTTCTCACTCTGTGGGCTGGCAAGCCCTCTGCTCTGTCTTATGCTGGTCTCTTGGTTCTGCCACCAGTCTCTCAGCCAGTTGTCTTTGCTGGCATTTCAGCACAGGGATCTCAGGTCCAAGGAAGCCTTCTGCTCTCGTCCCTGCTCAGTCTGGATGGCAGTGAGATCCCTCTTTGCCACTTTTGGGAGGGCTCCTTTTAAGCATAGTGAGATGACAAAGCTGCCTAGCGCCCACATTAGGGTTCTGTACGCCTCATTTCCCTGGTCCCACCCCCTAAGGATCTCTGATGGTGGAGTGATTAGAGCACTTGGCTCTGTGTGCTCTTGGGCTGCTAAGGGTTGCAATATACTTGATGACAATGGGTTTCTGAGTTTACCCCCACAAGGTGCCATATACCTCATTTAAATTACTAACAAGCTATTCAGTCCCTGGTAGAACACAAGCACCTCAGATTTATGTAGTTCCACCCAGTCATGTGGGTGCCACAGAGACTGCGGCTACAAGACCCATACCTTGTAATTCCCTGCAGCATTTCAGGCTAAGGGCCAAGGAACTGGGTTGCTGCATTGTAGCACCCCTTTGGCTGGTTACTGTGAAGACTGGGTCGCTGCACTGTGGCGCCCCGTGGCTGGTTACTGTGAGGACTGGGTCACTGCACTGTGGCGCCCCGTGGCTGGTTACTGTGAGGACTGAGTCACTGCACTGTGGCGCCCCGTGGCTGGTTACTGTGAGGACTGGGTCGCTGCACTGTGGTGCCCCGTGGCGTTTCTTTTGTTTCCTGTGTTCTAGATTCTCACAGCCCGTGTCACCTTGCTGTCTCTGTGCGTCTAGTGTGGGTGCTTGCTGCCATCTGCCTGTCTTGCCAGACTCTGTCCCCTCAGACTCTGCTGTAATGCAGACAGGGGCAGGTGAAGCTCTTTGGGTGGCAGCTAGAGATGCCCTTGTTTCCTTTTCCCTGTAGACACTGGTGACCGGTCTCTCATGCCTTTGGGTTGGGGAGCAGCAGCCAGAGATAGGGTTGCTGTCACTGACCTCAGGCCCCACCATGTTCCTCCTTTTCCCTTGGTCCCTCTTAGCCAGTCCAGCTGTGTGAGCCAGCACGTGGGCAGCATGGCACCCACTAGGAAGAAGGGATGGTTGTCTGTTAGACACAGGGTCCTCGTGTTGTGTACCCCTCATCTAGGAAAGCTGACACCATAGACACAGGGTCCTTGTGTCATGTGCTTCTCACCTGGGAAAGGTGACACCGATTTTTCTTCTTGCAGTGAGAAGTGTGAGGTCTTGCAGTACAGCGCAAGGGAGGCGCAGGATGCGGAGAAGGTAAGAGAAGGGGAAATGTTTGTTACCGCAGGTTGGATACACTTAGAAGGTTCTCTCAGATCACATAAACAGTTCATTGGTCTTAGAACCTTCTGGTTTTATAATCTGAACGAAGTACCAAGCCAGCTAGGTGGGTCTGGTGTGAGGTTTTCAGTTTCAATAATTTAGTTTATTTGATAATAAAATTGTAGAATGATGACACTGGAAGGGTCATCTGTTTCAATATTTTTATTTAAAAGATGGAGAAATAAAACTTGGGTTAATTAGGAGAAGATTTAACTGTAACTGTACCTTTAACCTTCAGGGTCTCATGTCCTCTGTTCATTGGTGCATTTTGTGAGATTCCAGCCAATCACAGGGGACTTTCCAGGGCAGCTAATGAGAAACAGCCAAGACAGTGTAGGAGAATAGTTGTGAAGGGGCATTTGCTCCTGACACATGAACACCGCCAAGTCACAGTGATTAGAGTCACAGTGATGAGAGCTGTGTGGTGTGAGAGCAAGGATTAACGAATACTTGAAGGGAGCAGAACAGAGAGAGAAGAGAGAGTCGATGAGAGTGGTTTCTGCCTAAATGGTGTTGAGATGTTGACTATATGTCTGTCAAACACGTAGTATGTGTATGATGTGTGTAGTAGCTCCTTGTATTACATTATATGTTAAACGTGAACTCTAAGTGTGTTAGTAAAATAACAAGTTTCACAATTCCAGAAGAAAATGCAGGTTTTGTGGTTTGGGTTGAGGTTGGAGGGTGACGTGTGTCACATGGAACACACATGGAGCTGACGGCATGAAAGGACTTGGGAAGAGAGGACCAGTCTGCCATGAACACCGGCTTCCCCGCAGCCTCTTACAGTTTTTGGCTTTTCTCACTGAGCCTTTTCTCCCAGCTTGCGGTCATTGCAGTGCTGCTCCAGGATCCTGAAGTATCTGTGGTCGTCTTGAAGACTCAACATGAATGCCGCCACGTGCCTTGATGACCACCAGCTCTTCTGTCTGTCTGACTTTCCTCGTGTGGTTCTTCTGCCACGTGGCTGAAGTGCATCACGTTTCAGCATGGTGCTTCATCTCTGTCTCCAGCACGAGACTGTCTGGTTAACTATGTTTTCTTGTCTCAGGTGATTGAAGACATCGAGTACCTCAAGTATGAGAAGGGGCCTTGGCTTGAACAGGACGACCGCACGTTTCACAACCTGCGGATGCTGTGAGTTCAAGGCCATTGCTGAGGCTGCTGGTCTTGTGTTGGTTTGAGTGCAGTATGTTGGACAGACTGCAGGCTGTAGGAAAGGAATTTTTGAAAGAATTGTGTTTCTAGCTAGATGCTCGCAGTGCTGACCAGTAATCACTTGGGGGACCTTCTGTTTCCCTCCCGGTGGGCCACTGCATTCTCTGGCCTGACGGTTAAGTAATTGGCGCTCATTACTAATACAGCAGATCTTTTGCTTCCACTGTGTGCTGGGCAGTCAGACTTGGGAAGATGTGGTAGTGAGTGAAACAATCCCTGCACTCAGGGAAGGAGGGTTTTAGGGGAGGGAGGCAGAGCAGAGAGTAAAGAAAGAAAACTGGCCTGGGTTTGCCCAGGAGAAAAGCGAGTAGGGCTGGAGGAGAGGGAGAGAGGAGAAGGGGGACCATGCAAGAAGGGCGGACCACAGAGCCTCTGTTGACTACAGTGAGGACTTGGAGTTTTTCCTGAAGCAAAGAGGAGCCAGGTTTACCTTTCAGCAGAGAGGCATGTGTTGTGAGTTTTATTTCCGAAAGGGCCATCTGACTGTTGTGTGGAGTTCTGTGTATCTTCTGAATAGCCATGAAGCCACACCAATGTACAGAGTTAAAAATTCGTACACTTCCATCCCTGTCCCCCACCACTTGCTGTAGGTTTGTCCTGCTGTTGTGGCTTGCGGGTTGCTGTGACACTGGAAGCTATGCCACGAGTAGTTTGAGTACCAGTAAGGTCATGCCCACAGTGGACAGCTTTTAGCAGTTTCTTAACTAAGACTAGGAAGAAGGACCTGCTGGTCCGCTTCTAAAAAAATTATCCCGAAGATGAGCCCCTCAGGTCGGAAGGCACTGAAAATACCACTGGGGGAGAGCTGCCTCCTCAAAGTAGAAGTGACCTTAATGATGAGGTGGATGGAGTAAAGCTTTCAGGATCTGCATTTGCTGATGTGACTGACACAAGTCAAAATGAGAAGAAACAGCTACAAAAATCCATCAATAATCAGAACATGGAATGTGTGAAGTTAGGAATCTAGGAAAATTTGAAGTTGTTGAAAATGAAACAGAACACATAAAGATCGATACCCTAGGCATTTATGAGCTGAAACGAACTGATACTGACCATTTTGAATCACACAGTCATACGGGCTACTATGCCCGGAATGACAGATTGAAGGGGAATGGCATTGCATTCATCGTCAAAAAGTGTAAGATCTGTGTTGAAGTACAACTTTATCAGTGATAATAGCCATGTATCTGCAACGAAGACCAGTTAATACAACTATTATTCAAGTTTATACACCAACCGTCAATGCCAAAGATAAAGAAACCGAAGATTTTTACCGCCTTCTGCAGTCTGCAGTTGATAAAAATACACAACCAAGATGCATTGATAATTACTGGTGATTAGAATGTGAAAGTTTGAAACAAAGAAGGATCAGTCGTTTGAAAATAATGGCCTGAGTGATAGAAGTGATGCGATCACAGGAGAGAATTTTGAAAACCAATCACTTATTCATTGCAAATACTTGTTTTAAAAAACATTAACAATGTCTATACTTGGACTTCATGAGATAGAATACACAGGAAACAGGTTGAATATATCTGTGGAAAGAGAAGGTGGAGAAGCTCAGTATCATCAGTCAGAATAAGGATGTGGTGGTTATGTTTGTGTCAGCTTGGCTGGGCCTGGTTGAGTGGCTGGGCAGCTGGTGGTAGTTATTCCCCATGATGAGACTGGCAATCAGCTCCATGGTGGGATCTACCACAGGCAGGTGAGTAGCTGCCTTTGGGATGTGGTCTGCTTCCTGTATATAAAGATAAGCCTTGGGAATGGTCTCTAATTTATGGCATCTTGAACCCCGCATGTAGCTGTGTCATTGTTCAGTAGCCTGCCATACTCTGCTGACCTTGGGACTTACAATGGACTTGAATTAATGGCCTACCATGTGATTTGGTAACATCGGGACTGTGCCTTTTTACTTGTCAGCCTTGGGTTTGTCAGTTTCAGCAGCCAGCAGCTGTCTGAGTGAAGAAATGCCTCTAGCTCCAGTGGGCCAGGAGCAGGAGGCAGAGCTGGACCCCAAGACTGAGGGGCTTTTACCCAGCCTCTAGAGCCTGGCACTTTGAACTTGGACTTGAAACCTCCAAATTGTAAGAATAAACTCCTGTTTCTTCAAGCCATCCCATTTGTGGTATATTCCTGTCAGCGGCACTGTTGTTATGTGCTGTCGAGTCGGACCCGACTCATGGCGACCCCTCTTTGGGTTTCCGAGGCACTAGGGAACCAGAACAAAGGCCAAGGGCTGACTATGGAAACAGACCATCAATTAATTGGTCATATGCAAATTCAAGTTGAAACTGAAGAAAGTGAAACAAGTCCACAAGGGCCAAGGTACAACCTTGAGTTTAGAGACCATCTCAGGAATGAATTGGATGCATTGAACACTAATGACTGAAGACCAGTCAAGGAAGTTGTGGGATGACATCAGGGACACCATACATGAAGAAAGCAGGTCTCTGAAAAGACTGGAAAGAAGAGATCATAGTGGGTGTCAGAAGAGACTCTGAAACTTGCTCTTGAATGTAGAGTAGCTAAAGTGAATGGAAGAAATGATGAAATAAAGAGCTGAACAGGGGATTCCGAAGGGTGGCTTGAGAAGACAGAGTAAGGTATTATAATGAAATGTGCAAAGACCTGGAGTTAGCCAACCAAAAGGGAAGAACATGCCCAGCATTTCTGAAGCTGAAAGAACTGAGTTGCAGTATTGAAGGATTTTGTGGGCAGAATACTGAATGATGCAGGAAGCATCAGAAGAAGATGGAAGGAATATAGAGAGTTGCTGTGTATTGGTTGATAGTCAACCTTTTTAGGAGGTAGCATATGACCAAGAACCATTAGTATTAGAGGAATAAATCCAAGTTGCAGTGAAGGCTTTAGTATAAAACAAGGCTCTAGGAATTGATGGGCTGCCCATTGAGATGTTGCAGTAAACGAATGCAGTGCTAGAGGTGCTTATCTGTCTATGCCAAGAAGTTTGTAAGACAGCTATCTGTCCAATCAACTGGAAAAGATCCATATTTTTGCCTCTTTCAAAGAAAGGTGATCCAACAAAACATGTAAGTTACTGAATAATGTCAGTAATGTTACAAGTCAAATTTTGCTGAAGATAATTAAAAAAAAAGTATTGTGACAATACATCAAGGAACCACCAGAAATTCAAGCTGGATTCAGAAGAGGATGTGGAATGAGGAGTATCATTGCTGGTGTCAGATGGATCTTGGTTGAAAACCGAGAACACCAGAAAGATACTGTGTTTTATTGACTATGAAGAGGTACCATGTGGACCATAACACATTGTTTGACATTTCAAAAATGGAATTCCAGAACAATGGTGCTTATGAGGAACCTGTGCGTAGACCAAGAGGCTGTCATTTGAACAGAACAGGGTTTAAAATCTGGAAGGCTGTACATCAGAGTTGTATCCTTTTACCATACTTAATCTGTATGGTGAGCAAATAATATGAGAAGCTGGACTATATGAAGAAGATCATGGTATCAGGATTGGAGGAAGACTTATTAACATCCTGCAATAATCAATCTTGCTTGCTGGAAGTGAAAAGGACTTGAAACGTTTACTGATGAAGGTCAAAGACCACAGCCTTCAGTATGGATTACATAGATAAAATAACAGTCCTCACAACTGGACCAAAAAGCAGCATCATGATTGTGTTAGACTGTGTTCTCTAGAGAAACAAAACCAGTAAAGCTTATATATAGAGAGAGAGAAAAAAAAAAATATTTATCTTAGGAAAATGGCTCACACACTTACAGAAGCTGGCAAGTCCAAAGTTCCTGGATCAAACGTCAAGCTGGAGGCTTTTCCACGTCAAGCTGGAGGCTTTTCCTGACTCTTGCAGCCACAGGGGCTGAGGAGCTCAAGGCTGGCAGGCAGTACACTGGCTGTTGACTCCAACGAATGACGAATCCAAGATCTCCGGGCCGAATAGTGGATTGTTCACTCATGGACAGTTGTAGGCAGCACAACAGAATCCTGATCCACAGAAGAATGTCTCTTTTCCCAGGATGTCCGTACATATACTGGAAGCAGGCCACACCCTTAGGGAAATTCCCTTTCAACAGATTGGCTGCTCAAAACATAATCATTTGATCCATCATGGGAATAACCACATCACAATGGCTTAAACCACACAGAATTGTGGTCCAACCAAGTTGACACACATCTCCAACTATCATAATGGTAAATGGAGAAAGACTGAAATTGTGAAAGATTTCAATTTATTTGGATCTGCAATCAACACTCTTGGAAGCCACAGTAAAAAAAAATCAGTGTATTGTACCGAGCAGATCTGCTGCAAAAGACCTCTTTAAAATGTTAAAAAACAAAGATGCCACTTTGAATACTAAGGTGTGTCTGACCCATGCCAAGTATTTTCAGTTGTCTTGTGTGCATATGAAAGCTGGACAGTGGTTAAGGAAGACCTATGAAGAACTGATGCCTTTGAATTGTGGTGTTGGTGAAGAATACTGCATATACCACGGACTGCCATTCTGAACAGATCTGTTTTAGAAGAAATGCAGCTGGAATGTTTCTTAGAAGCGAGAGTGGTGGACTTTGTCTCAGATACTTTGGTCATGTTGTCAGATGGGACTGGTCCCTAGAAAGGATATCATGCTTGTTAAGGTAAAGAGGCACTGAAGAAGGGGAAGGCCCTCAATGAAATGGGTTGACACACTGGCTGCAACAGTGGGCTCAAACATAGCAACAGCTGTGGGGATGGCGCAGGACGGGGCAGGATTCCGTTCTCTCGTCCGTGGGATCACTGAGAGTCAGTACCAAGTTGAGAGCACCTAATGGCCACAAGCTTGGCATTTCTCAAGCTCAGAGAACAGACGAAAAATTTAAGCCTCGAGTTGCAATATTGAGAGATTCTATGGGCAAAATATTGAATGATGCAGGAAGCATC